AAGAAAATCAAATTTGTGAGAAAAGTTTAGCTTTTCTCAGAACTTTTGGGCATTCTAACTAAAGCACCAACTTATTATAAGGCCATCAAATACACACATATTCAATGAATACTCCAAGAAATGTATGGCTGGGGAAAGTTTTCTTTAGATCAGAATAATTGGGTCTTTGGAATATGCAGAAGTCAGGAACTGTATCCCTAGAGAACCCTATAATTTTTTGACTTACAACCTTAGGGACTGAAGAAGTTTGTAAAAGTAAGTGGTGATTCACCTCCAAAAAAGTTGAGTCTCCCTTGAGTAAATGTCAACATAAGAACAAATTATGGGAAAACTCATTACATCATTGATCATTATGCTTAATATGTTTTATTTCCTTGATATCCTCTTAAGAATATTCATGTACAGCCAAATTGTCGGATTGTGCCTACTCTTCTTCACATTTCTTTTTAGGGGAGAGGAGGCACTGTTTTCCAAATTGAGAATCTTCTGGTCTCAGCTGAAAAATACAAGTGAAATTCATATTCCTGGGAATTTTTCCTATTACTTAATAGCATGGAATGGTATGGATGATTTTAAAGGAGGTAAGATAAAGAGAGGAGACTTTATTATGATTATTTCAAAAGAAAAACATCTCATCAACAAATATAAAGATTTTTGAGCTGATGTGGTCATTGCTTGTATTTCAAAATATAAATATTTCATATATATGTCAAGGAAAAAAATGTAAAAATCCAGTCATCACCTACCAGACCAGGATATTCTATTTAAATTTTTCTTTTTAATTCCAAAATAACTCAGTGGTCTGCAATCTCTTTTGAGATCACAGAATTAATTCATGTGAGGAAAACAAAGTTGATTACAATGCAACAGACTCATGAATAATAGGCTAATGGTTATTGCATTCAAGTATCCAGTCCACTAAAGTCTTAAGTAACAGTTATATGGAGAAGGAACACATGGTGATTTACGTAATATTCATATATAAACTATGCCCAATAAGGGTTTGAGAAAGCATATAATTAAAGGTGTTTACAGTAAAAATAGGATTAACAAGTATTATGAAAGAGGGGTGGGAAGTAATTATAATAGTGTTAGTTTGAACCTCAGGCAGCCAGGGTGAAAGAAAAAATATGAAATTTTTTGAGTTCTTATTTACATAATACGTCAAACTCTACTATACTAGGCCTGAATTTCCCACAATAGACCTGAAAGAAATTTAGGGTAGGCTTTCATTTGAAGTCATTATTGTGGATAATGCCTTCACAAATGGTTTTATTTTGAAAAGAAAAAGAGGTGAATTTATTCTTTATGTGCATAATTATCATATAGACTCTTTTTGAAAGTTCAGTGCATCTAATTAAATCGTGGTTTTATAAAATGTTTGCACTGTAAAAATAAGTGAACATTGCAGTAGGTGGTAACCTTTACCACTATCAGATATTAAAATTTTTCTGCACTGATCTTGCTGGGAGCTGCAGACCACAGCTGTTCCTATTTGGCCATCCTTTGAAATCTCAAATGAATTTCTTTGTAAAGAAAAGTCATAGTAGTATTTGGGTTATTTTGAAGATTAAGTGATAAAAATTACCTGAAATGTCAAATACATACTAATATGTCACATGTTATAAATCGCCCTTCCATTTGTGAGCTAAAATAATATGTCTTTCCTTACTGTGTACTAATTGAGGGTTAGAGTATATCTATAAATTGATAGTTGTCATGCCCATTAAACTTTGTGTAATATCAATGATCTCAACTGATCTCTTTAGAAAAGCTAGAGATTACAAGATTGTTTCTTTTAGGGAGTATTTAGGGTATAGATGTTACATGTTCTTGTTGAAAAAAAATTAGTACTTTAAATATTAGACCTTCAAGTGGCTAAGTTAATAAAGCAAAGCAAAACCACAAGGTTAGATGTTTTTCTAAAAAGTTAGAGAGCTTGACTTCTGGCTTGAATTAAGAAGTCATCAACTTTGCTTATGTCTATTGCAACACCAAAGCAGCCCCAGAGCACTGAATCACAGACTGGTTATTTCTTACCGGGGTTGGGAGAGAGGGATTTGAGGGGGCAGGATTCCAGCTAGTTCAGAGTCTTTTGCAAATACAAACTTCATCTTCTAGTGACAATTCTGTTCTAGGCATTAATGGTCTGTGTCTCTTTTTAGACCATCTAATTGAGTTAGGAACTCAAGTGCTCTATCTTGGTTACCTCCAGAAAACAATAAAGGCTGTTACCTGGAAGATTTTTAAGTGTAGGGATATAAATGCTCACAAACAAATAGTGAGTTCCTGTGGATAACTAGAAAGGACACACCAGCACAATTTCAGCATCATTGTACAATCTCTAGAAAAATTTGCTGTACTATTTAAATTATCTTAACATTTTTTTACTCTGAGTTAGTCTTACCATAATTATAGACAACTGCTTCAGTGTTTTTCACTTTTGATTACATTATACCACTATATATATATTTATTTTAGAAATATAGATATTCAGAAAAGTAGAAAAAATTATCTAAAGTAACCATTCACGTTTTGGATATTTCTTTCCACCCTTTCTTTTCTGTCTGGGTTATCTTGGTTTAGGTATAGGTTTTGCACACACTGTTATATACATTCGTTTCTGTTTTTACTTAATCATCTTAAAATAATTTAAACATGACTTTTGTGTTCATACAAATTCCCCACAAATATATTAATAGGTGAATAATGGTCCATTATATGAGTATATGATTATTTAATGACTCCACTGAGATTAGATAAAAATAAAAACTCCCATTTTAAAGATAATATCCAATAATAGCAAAGATCTGGAAAGAATAAAATTGTTTGATACTGAAAGTCCCATGGAAAGTGATTTATTAGAAACTTTTTAAATTTGTTCAGCATCTTAACAATCTTCATTCCCTGTTCCCAAGAAGATTCTGGGAATCCATGTTAGGGAATTAAACTTAAGTACAGAAAAAATGTAGGCACAATGCTGGTCAACAGAGTGTTTGTTGTTTGCTTCTTAAATTACACCAGCATTGCAAGATTAATTCAAATAATTTATTCTATATGGTTCATCATCCCTTTTTTTCCCATTTGAAAGCATGGAAGCAGATTGGTGGTTTCTCTTACAAATATTTGCAAGTGAAATTATGATTGCAGCAACCATCTTGGGGCTATTAGGATACTATTTATACCATAATTATTTTCCAAAATTAATTTCCAAATAGGAATCAATGTTTAGATGTTCCAAGAAAAGAAAAGAGAGGGCATTCTACCTAATTTATATCTTGCCTGCAAAAATTTCAATGCAGATTTTCAAGGCCTCTACAAAAATTTCACTGGGGATTCAGCGTAGATTAATATATGCAGCTATAGTCAGTCAAATTTCTATCTTACTACTAAAAAAAGTGTATGCTAACACTTTCTACCCTCTTTGTAATATATGCCTAGAAAGTAGGATGCAGCTTGAATTAGCTGAAACCCCTCGCTTTTAAAGCCAATAGAAGTATAAGCATCTAGCCAGGTGTGGTGGCTCATTCCTGTAATCCCTGCACTTTGGGAGGTGGGGGGGAGATTGGGAGGTTGGGAATCACTTGAGGTCAGGAGTTCGAGACTAGCCTGGTGAACATAGTGAAACCCCACCTCTACCAAAAATGCAAAAATTAGTTGGGCATGATGGTGGGCATCCGTAATCCCAGTTAGGAGGCTGAGGCAGGAGAATCATTGCAACTTGGGAGACGGCGGTTGCAGTGAGTCAGATCATCCCACTGCACTCTAGACTGGGCAGCAGAGTGAGACTCTGTCTCAAATATAAGCAACCTTTTATGCTGATTATGTTGCCTGACCATTGTAAACTAGAGTTTTCATAGAAAGCAGAACAACCTGGGGCAAATGATGAGCATAAAAATGGCAAATCCTGTACCAGAAACAGCCATTTGTTTAAAATATTAAGTCAAAATCAATTCATTGGATCAATTTCTTTCCTCTATTTTAAAGCTAGATAGAATGCCATTGAGAATGATGTTTTCAAAATGATATTCTGTGATTTATTTACTACAAAGAAGAAGGTAATCTGCTCTACCCTCTAAGTTTTCTCAGATTGAAGTCATTTGTTCCATGTTCTTTGGTGCTCTACTCAGGTGCCTAAACAGGACCAACATTCCTTCTTTAGGAAAATACTGGCCCTACCTGCAAATTCAGCAAGTAGAAGAGGAATGAATATCATATGGACAGAGGTAAAAGGGAGGTTCTTCTCTGTACAATTTGGTTGCTTGCATATGTAACCAGAATTAATTGGGATAAACTACACAGAGGTATCTTCAAGTTTCATCTGTTCAATTTAGCATTGTCTATTATGCAATTGCTATTTTACACACAACAGAGGAAGCAATAGCACTCCAATAGTATTGGAGTCAGATGGTCTGAAAGGCCTTGCTACTCAGGTATGTTATGTAGACAAGGAATATCAGCATCACTTGGAAACATGTTAATAAATGTAGCGCTGTGAACCCACCACACATTTACTGAATCAGAATATTTTACAAAATTCCCCACATGATTTGTATGAAGACTAAAGTTTGAAAGCACTCCACAAGACAGCTGAGTCTCTTTCTGGGTTGTACATTAAAATCATCTGAAGAGTATTATTGAAAAAGAAAATGAAAGATGCCTGATTCCCACCCCTTCAATGGAACTTACCTAATTTTGGGAGGGTTATAAGGTATAGTTTTTAAAGACGGGATTTAAAGACAAAAAAAAATGAAGCTTTGCATAACAAATCCCTCCCTTACTATAATTGTATATAAGTTTGTCACTAGCCTTCATTTTCTTTAGAGAATTATAGTGGTAATAAAATGAATAATATATGTGAACATATTTGTAAACTATAAAAAACTAAGCCAATGGCATTGTTAATTATTTGCATGGTATAAAGTCAAATTATAAATCTTTCTCAAACAGATTAAAGCATGTTCTCTTGAAAACATTGATTTTCAAAGTGGGATCAACTGCATGAGAAGTAACAGATGCTTGTTAAAAATGCAAATTGTTCTTCCCTGCCTCACACCTCTTGCATCACAATCTCAAGAAATGGAATACACGGGCCTGCAAATTTTAATAAAACTACCAATATAATTAACAAATGTCATCAACTCACTGCTTTATGAGTTAGAAGAGGAATCCCAGAAGCTAAGCTCAAAGCTGTTACCGCCTCTCTTGCTAGCAGAGAAATACTTACCCCTCCCACACCAATTATCTCTCACTTCATATGTTAAGACTGTACTGACTTTTTAAACTCCAGGTATAAAAAATTAACATGGAAAGAACCAACTGGACAGAGATTGAGTTCATTCTGCAGGGGCTTTCTGAGTACCCGAGAGCTGAAAAATTCCTTTTCATGATGTGCTTGGTGATGTACCTGGTGATTCTCCTGGGGAACAGCACATTTATCATTCTGACACTCCTGGATGCTCGTCTCCACACACCAATGTACTTCTTCCTTGGGAATCTTTCCTTCCTAGATATTTGGTACACATCCTCCTTCATCCCCTCAATGCTGATACACTTCCTGTCAGAGAAGAAAACCATCTCTTTCACTAGATGTGTGGTTCAAATGTCTGTCTCTTACACTATGGGATCCACTGAGTGTGTGCTCCTAGCAGTGATGGCCTATGACCGTTATGTGGCCATCTGCAACCCTCTGAGATACCCCACCATCATGGACAAGGCACTTTGTATTCAGATGGCAGCTCTCTCTTGGGGACTAGGCTTTCTCAACTCATTGACAGAAACTGTTCTTGCAATACAGTTGCCCTTCTGTGGAAAAAATGTCATTAATCATTTTGTTTGTGAAATACTGGCTTTTGTCAAGCTGGCTTGCACAGATATTTCCTTGAATGAGATTATTATAATGTTGGGCAATGTAATATTTTTGTTTTCTCCATTACTGCTGATTTGTATCTCCTACATATTTATCCTTTCTACTGTACTAAGAATCAATTCAGCTGAAGGAAGGAAAAAGGCCTTTTCCACCTGCTCAGCCCACCTCACAGTGGTGATTGTGTTTTATGGAACAATCCTCTTCATGTACATGAAGCCGAAGTCCAAAGACTCTGCTTTTGACAAGCTGATTGCCCTGTTCTATGGCATAGTCACCCCCATGCTCAATCCTATCATCTATAGTCTGAGGAATACAGAGGTACATGGAGCTATGAGGAAATTAATGAATAGACACTGGTTCTGGAGGAAATGATGACACACTGACACCTTTGAGTTTATGCACAAAATACACTATAAGTTTGAGGCAAGACTTTTAAAGTTAGACAAGAAAAGCAATTAAGGTCATATGTTGAGTCAGAATTTCAGTGTTAGAAAAAAATTGAAGATTAAGAGTTTAACTATATTACTTTATGAAAATGACTGATTTCATTAAAATGTAGGTCTGTGAGAGTAAACTTTGGAAAAAAAATACTTTCAGTAAGTCTTTCTAAGAAAATCCAGCTTAGTAAGAATTAAAACACATTTTTCAGCCCTCTTTTTAAAAAAGCTATTTTGTATTTTTGTTCTTTTATTCTTGCTCTTTATTTTATCCGGGGACTGGATCTGGTCCCAACTTTCCCTTTCAGCTATATTATTTCAACCTCTCCCCCTGTCCTTTCCCTCCCCCTAACTCTTCACACAAGTTGTGTTCTATTTACCATGTAATTACCAAGTTACATCATTTTCTTTCACACCTAATGACAATAGCACGTGCTATTCCATCTGCATTTTCACATTTCTTCTCAGGTGAAATCCTAACAATCTCATAAAGGACAGGTCAAGTGTCATATCCTCTGCAACACAGTCCAAAGTTTTCCCAGAGTTATTTCTTCATCTGTGCTGTCCTGGACTTTATCTCCACTAAGCGATTTTTTTTTATACTATAATCATTTATTACCTTCTGAAATTCTTCCCCGGGGCAGAACTATGGCTCACTGTTCTCTGCATAAAATCTAATGTCAAGTTAATTAAAAACAGTTGGCAGTAATGAACTGTTGAATTAATTAAAAATTTTAAAGGATAATAAAATTACGGTCTAAGTACCTGATTTAATACAAGGAGATAACTGAAATGTATACAAAATTTCCTTTACCATACTACAATTCTAAAAGATTTTGGTAAAATAACAGCTGATTTTTTAATGTAGGGAAAAATAAGGGAAGATAAAGACTGAATAAAATATGCTGGAAAAAATCATTTTGGCCTGGTAAGACAAAAAACCCTAGTGGATATTATTATCAAATAAGTAATTGCTGAGAAAAATGAATCAATTGCATAAATCTTAAAGAACACTGACAATTTCAATTACTTTCAGAAGAAATGGTCTCATTTAAAATATCTTCTTTTCATTAGAAAAAACCTTGGACTGACTAGTATTAATATATAGTTGCATTTTTATAATAGATATATTTGTATAATATATAGTTGAGCTGCCTAGTACACTGTCATCGCCCGAGCTTGGTGAGGAACTCACTGAGGCTATGAACTTACTTGTGCAGTAAAACTAGTAAAGGTTTTCATAACACAAAGGCATTGAGAAAGGCATCCTTACTTGTTCTGCTCAGCATGATGTTTTGGAGCCTGAACGGAATAAGGGAGAGGTCAACACGGAAGAGCAGCTCAGTTCACGGTGTCAGAGTCCACACAGCATGAAAGGGGCAAACACACAAGAGGAACGTGTGGATCCTAGCACGTGGATGAGGACCACACCTGCAAAGAAAAGCTGACTGATAGAAGATATTAGAACACAAACGGGATAAGGAAAACACCTGCACACCATAGGCAGGTGGTCTGGAGTGAGTTGTCAGAGTCCTAAGGGGGTGAGAAAGGCATCCGTAGTGGGATGGGGAAGTTCAGAATATGGGTGTCCAAGTCTGAGAGGGGTGAAGAGAGAATTCCTGAAGAAAGACCTAAATGGAGTGAAAAGATCACCTAAAAGGGGGAGAAGAGTCAAGGTGTGTGAGAAACAGATTAGGGTGGAGTGGGCATTCTTGAAGGTAACAGCCTTGCCTGAAGTGTTGGAACCCAAGCCAGAAGAAGAAGGTCAGCAATCACAGCTCCCTGCAGCCTCGACCTTCACTGGCTCAGGTGATACTCCCACCTCAGCCTCCTTAGTAGCTGGGGCCACAGGTACATGCCACCACACCCAGCTAATTTGTGTATTTTTTTGTAGAGATGGGGTTTTGCCATGTTTCCCAGGCTGGTCTCAAACTCCTGGGCTCAAGTGATCAGCCTGCCTTAGCCTCCCAAAGTGCTGGGATTACAGGCATGAGCCACCATGCCAAGCCAGGATTTCTTTCAAGGTAAGACTGCTAAATAAGAATTGTTTGTGTAGATGGAGGGAAGTTAGGGGGAGAGTCTGGAAATGTTTTCATTTTGTTCTCAATTTTAAATGACATTTTCACTGAGTATACACATGTTGGTTGGCAGTTATTTTTTTTTCAACATTTAAAAACACTGTTCTATTTGGTATCCATCGTTTCTGTTGAGAAGTTGCCTCTGTTTAGTTTCTGCTTCTTTGAAAAAATGTCTTTTTTTTTTCTTTTGATTGCTTTTTATATTTTCTCTTTACAGTTGGTCTCTGAAATTTTATAACAAGGTTCTTATAGGTGGCTTTTTTTTTTTAACTCGTCCTCCTTGATGTTGTAGATCTCCTTAATTCTGTGGCTTGATGTCTTTTATAAGTTCAACAATTTCATTTGGTATTTGACATATTTTCTTCTAATCCATTTATCTTTCTCCTCTCCCTAGTTATTTATATGTTAGGTGTCTAGTTATTTATATGTTAGACTTTTCCATTATATTTCATGTAGCTCTCACAGTCCTTTCTGCATTATCCTTCCTTTGTCTTCTTCATGTGTCCAGTCTGGTTATTTTCTACTGATCTGTCTTCCAGCATGTTAAGCCCTGCTTCAACCTTGTCTATTCTGTTATTAAATCTATGTATTTCGTTCTTAATACCAGTTATTGTGGTGGTGGGGGGGGTCCATAACTTCAATTGTTTAAAATACAATTTTGGGTTGTCTGGTGAAGTCTTCATCTTCTTATCTAGGCTCATGGCAGGTTAACATTAGTTATTTTAAAGTCTGTGCCTGATTACTCCTATATTTAGATCACCTGAGGATCTTTCAATTACCTGTTTTTGTCTCTTGGTCCTGTTTTCTTATTATTTGTAATTTTTTATTAAATGCCAGATATTGTATATGAAAAAAACATAGAATCTATGTTTTAGTTATCCAAAGAAAATTCACTTTATTCTCTAGTTGAAACCCAGGGTAAGGGAGATTGTCTTATGTCAAAGATGGGTTGAAATAACTTAGAGTTGGGCACCTGATTTGATCTGCGGTGGAAGGAAGATTGCTTCTGGTTATTATTGCCCTGCATATGTTTAGTACTTTAGAATGTGTCATTGCTGGCTGCTCTGTGCTATTCTATTCTTCTCATAATAGATACTCTGGATCAGAACCCTGGATATATAGCTGTCACAAACTCAAGCAATATTTATTATCACAGTGGAGTATTTAGGAGCTAAGAAAAATAAGGTAGAAGGAGAAAATTGTATTTGAAAAATTTACTGTTGCCTGACATTGGCTATGGGCTATTTAAAACTAGGTTTTGAGCTCTGTAAAAATTAAGATTCTGTTTTCAGCAAATTGCAGAAAACATAAAATATTTTTAGCACCAAAATATTATAGCAAATTTAAATTCAACTTCATACTCTGAGGTATAAATGAGCTCCCAGGAATCCTATAAAACATTTTTCTAATGATTTTAGTAAGACAGCACAGAAAAAATGGAAATAAGTTAAAAAAAAAAAAAACACCTGGCCACTATCTGGCATATAATAAACATAAAGGAAATTACAAATTTCAAAGTAAATTGTGGAAAACATTGTTATACCAGAGTCTCCTGGTAGATCTTGTTGTGGCTAATATAACTGCAGTATGAGTAGATTCTGAGACAGGATTTCTTGTGCCTGGGAGACTAGGAGATTGATGGAGGCCCAAACCTCAGTGGAAAGCTTCACCTATTTTAGCACAGACCAAGGTCAACTGTCCTGCATATTTTATGTTCCAACTTACATTCCGCCTGGAACCCCATAACTGGAAATCATATCATAGAGCATTCAAAAACTTAAGGTGAAAAAATATACTTGAGGATAAAGGTTTTTTTTTGACAAGATGAAAAGCTTCTCTTATCTACACTAATTGAGTCAGTGTTATTAACAATAAGCTGACATCCCTTCTAACTGGATCCAAACATTAAAAACTGAGAATACCTCTCCTTTTCAATAAGTATTGATCTATTTTTATATATTCTTTAAAAATTGTTATGTTTCCAAACAAAACTTTCTATGGGGGCTGGGGAAACTAGACACAAATCTACATGTTTGCAAATTTAAAGAGTATTACAGAGCGTAATATTCTTTAGACTCATGGAGATGTCAGCATGGAAAAACATTATAGTCATAAAAACAGGGGTACAGTCTGAGAAATGCATCATTTGGCAAATCTTATGATGATGTGAACATCATAGGGTATTTTCACACACCTAGATGGGATACCCTACTACACACTCAGGCTATACAGCATAGCCTATTGCTTACAGGCTACAAGGCTGTGCAGCATATTACTGTACTGAACACTATAGGCAACTGTGTCACAATGGTATTTGTGTATCTAAAATAACAGAAATCCTGTAACAGAAAAGTTAGAGTAAAAAGATATAATTTCATGAGACAACCATCATATATGTCATATATGTTATCTGTCATTGATGAAAACTTTGTTAAATGGCACGTGACTGTAATTCCTTAGCTTTAGTTGACCTTTCATCAGAATCCATTCTGTATGCAAGGCATGGCTGCCCCAAAACCTCAAGGTAACTAAAGAAGATACTTAATGACCCATATATGGAAACCCTGGAGACTTAATCTTTAGAACTCAAGGTAGTTTATGGCTATGATAACTCAAGATAATATTAAATAATACATTTTGTCTCAGGTTTTTATAGATACCAGAAAATCAGTTTCCCCAGGCCAGTGGAGAATGAAAAGTATGGCTTTTAATGTTAGTCTTTTCAGAGCCATGGCAGACAACACATCCTGACATCTTCAAACTACCCCAGCATTTGCGGGGCTAAGAATAACATCTCACTCATTTTTAAGGATTTCATTTTATTTAGCTTTTAGTATAATGGAGGCTCTCTATAACAGCCTGAAAAGGCTAATTGCAAGAAGTATACCAAGGATGTCCTATAAATAAATGTCTTATAAAGCAATGGCATATACAAATCGATGGAACAGAAAGAAATCAATATGCAAATGTATAGCTATGAGGCAATGTTAAGAGAACTGTCTAATCCCTAGAAATGACTGAGAACAAGGGAGTATTTGAAATTTTCTGTCTATAGATATTATCCCATTGTATTTTAATGTTAAGTTATCAGCCAAGGTGTTCAAGTTCAAAATAGACTCGTCATTATATACCCTTCACCTCATAAACTACAAGCCAGTAAGCATAATTTTCTAATGAAAGAGCTAACATGTTCCAGTGAAAATATGTAGAGTTGTTTTGTTTTGGACCCTCATTCTTTTACTTGTGATCATTTAATTATCACATATCATTTTAGATGAGTTGGTTGCCAATCTCTCCATAATAAATTAGAAAAGACCAATCAAAGAGGTAAAAGATCTGTACACTGAAAACTATAAAACATTAATGAAAAAATTGAAGAAGGCATCAGTAAATCGAAAGATATTACATGGGCCAGGCCCAATGGCTCACACCTGTAATTCCAGCACTCTGGGAGGCTGAGGCAGGCGGATCACCTGAGGTCAGGAGTTTGAGACCAGCTGGACCAACACAGAGAAACCCCGTTTCTACTAAAAATATGAAATTAGCATGGCATGGTGGCGCATGCATGTAATCCCAGCTACTCAGGAAGCTGAGACAGGAGAATGGCTTGAACCTGGGAGGTGGAGGTTGTGCTGTGTAGGGCTGAGGGCCCCACAGGGTCGTGGGGTGTCCCTTATGCTTTGCTGAGGTGCAGGATCTGAAAAATAAAGAGACAGGACACAGAAGTACAAGGAAAACGCAGCTGGGCTCAGGGGGGCCATGCCACCTATAGGCAGAGAGAGGCGAGGCCTGGAATGTCCAGAAGCATCTGTATTTATTGGGTATAGCTTGGAGGCAGGGTAGTGAGTGAAGTCATCTTTAAGGACAGTGATAAGTCATAAGCAATAAAACAAGGAGTCCACCACCATTAGGTCACCTAGGCTAGGAGTTGGGCCGTGTGCAGTAAGGGATCTACTCTCATTAGGTCATCGAGGCATGGAGGTGGGCCAGGCGCAGTGAAGAGGGTGCAGTGTTCAATAACTATCTATGGGCGTGCTACTCCTAAGAAGATCTATAGGAGGATGCTTAAGTCACACAGCAGACAGAGTTGTCAGGGTCTACTGCCACCTGCTGGCAGATTCCAGAGAGTTCTATAGGAGGATGCTTTTTGAGCTAGCACAGTAACAAGAGCTGATAAAGCTCACAGTCACCAAGCTGCGATTATCAGGAGGGATTTTGAGCCCTCGGATGCTCGAGGGATTGCCAGTCTGAGAGTAGCCTTCCAGAAGATCTGGAGCAAGTTCCTACAACTTCTTTATCAGGAGGAGTGGCTCTTGCCCCAAGCCTGCCATACAGCGGTTATCTTTACAATACTGAATACTGCCACCTGGGCCACGGATTCTTGTCCTGGTATAACTGTTTTACCCTTAAATCATGCTCTGTTCCAGACGTGTCTGCTCCAGACATTCCTCCAACTATAAGCTGCTTATTCCTTAATTCATGCTCTGTACCATGTCTACTCTAGGCATTTCTCCAATTATGAACTAGGATATAGTCATATATATATATATGAAAATAACTGAGTGGTAAGATATTCTTTAGGCACTCATTCTATGAACTAACATATGATTATATACAGAGAGGATTATATAAAGGGAAATAACTGAGTAGTAACACTATAAACTGAGATATTCTTCAAGCCCTAATTCTATAAACGAATACATGATTATACATAAATAATTATATAAAAGGAAATAACTGAGTAGCAACACTATAAACTGAGATATTCTTCAGGCCCTAATTGTGCCAGGATTCTGCTAGGATTCTGCTTAGCTCTCCTTCCTCGGTACCTATATGTGGGGGTACCCACATTGGTGAGCTGACATCATGCCACTGCACTCCAACCTGGGCAACAGGAGCAAGACTCCGTCTCAAAAAATAAAAAATTAAATTTAAAAATTTTTAAAAAGGAAAGAAAGCTATTACATGTTCGTGGATTAGAAGAATTCATATTGTGAAAATGTCCATCTTACCTAAAGCAATCTACAGATTCAATGCAATTCCTATCAAAATTCCAATGTCATTTTTCATAAAAATTGAAATAATAATCATAAAATGTATATGGAACTAGAAAAGACCCTTCCTAGGCAAAACAATCTGAAGCAAAATCAAAGCCGACAGTATCAAATGCTGAGATTTTAAAATATGTTAGAAAGTTATTATAATCAAAAGAGCATGGTACTCACATAAAAGCACACATATTAACCAATGGGACAGAATAGAAAGCCAAGAAATAAACTCAAGTATTTAAGGTCAATTTATTTTTGACAAAAATGCTGAGAACACACAATGGGGAAAAGACAACCTCTTCAATAAATGGTGTTGGGAAACTGAATATCCACATACAGAGGAATGAAATTGGACTCGTATCTCACACTGTATGCAAAATCAACTCAAAATAGATGAAAGACTTTAACATAAAACCTGAAACTATAGAGCTACTGGAAGAAAACATAGGAAGAAATTTCCTTGACATTGGTCTGAGCAATGATGTCTTGATAGGACTATAAAAGCACAGGCAACAAAAGCAAAAATAGAGAAATGGGATTGGATCAAACTAAAAAGCTTCTGCACAGTAAAGTAAATAATTATCAGAGTGAATAAACAACCCATGGATTGGGAGAAAATATTAGCAAGCAATACATCTGATAAGGGCCTAATATCCAAAATATAAATGAAACTCTAATAACTTAATAGCAGGAAAACAAATAACTTGATTTTTAAAATAGGCAAAGGACTTGATCAGACATTTAGCAAAAAGAAATGCAAATGCCCAACAGATACATGAAAAAAAATGCTCAAAATCTCTACTCATCAGAGAAACACAAATTAAAGCTATGATGAGACATAACCTCACACCTGCTGGAATGGCTATTATCAAAAACATGAATAATAGCAAGTATTGGTGAGAATGTGAAGAAAGGGAAGCCTTTGTACACTGTTTTTGGGAATATATATTACCATAGCCATTTTGGAAAACAGTATGGAGCTTCCTCAAAAAACCAAAAACAGAATTGTTATATAATCCCGATAGCCCACTTCTGGGTATATATCCAAAGGAAATGAAATCAGTATCTCAAAGGTATCTTTATTTCATGTTCATTGCAGCATTATTCACAACAGCCAAGATATGGTAGCAATTTAAGTCTCCATCAGCAAAAGATAACATGGTACCTATATACAGTGAAATATTCAGGCTTAAAAAAGAAAACTCTGTCATTTGTGACAGCATGGATGGAAGTGGAGGACATTATCCTTAGCTAAATAAGCCAGGCACAGAAAGACAAATACTGTATAATCTCACATATATGTGGAATCTTTAAAAAGTCAGTCCCATAGAAACAGAGTAGAAAGGTGATTACCAAAAAGGTTTGACATGGGAGGAAGGCGAACAAGAGGGAAAGAGAAAATGTTGATCAAAGTGCATTAGGCTTTAGTTAGACTGGAGGAGTCCGTTTATTGATCTGTTGCACTGTGTATGGCCTACCATTAATAATAATGTAATGGACAAAATTGCTAAAAGAATAAACTTTTAACATTCTCAATACCATAAAATAAGTTGGTAAAGTGACAGATACGTTAATTAGCTTGATTGAATCTTTCTACAACGTATACATAGATAAAAACATCACATTGTACCCCATGAATATACACCATCATTATTTGTAAATTAAAACAAAAACAAGCAATGGGGCAAGGATTCCATGTTTAACAAATGGTGTTGGGAAAACTGGCTAGCCATGTGCAGAAAGCAGAAACTGGACCCCTTCCTGACACCTTACACTAAAATTAACTCCAGATGGATTAAAGACTTAAACATAAGACCTGGCACCATAAAAACCCTAGAAGGAAATCTAGGCAAAACTATCCAGGACATAGGAGTAGGCAAGGACTTCATGAACAAAACACCAAGAGCATTGGCAACAAAAGCCAAAATAGACAAATGGGACCTAATCAAACTCCACAGCTTCTGCACGGCAAAAGAAACAGTCACTAGAGTGGATCGGCAACCAACAGAATGGGAAAAAATTTTCGCAGTCTACCCATCTGACAAAGGGCTGATATCCAGAATTTACAAACAACTCAAGCAGATTTACAGGAAAAAAACAAACAAGCCCATTCAAAAGTGGGCAAAGGATATGAACAGATACTTTACGAAAGAAGACATATATGAGGCCAACAATCATATGAAAAAATGCTCATCGTCACTGGTCATCAGAGAGATGCAAATCAAAACCACATTGAGATACCATCTCACGCCAGTTAGAATGGCGATCATCAAAAAATCTGGAGACAACAGATGCTGGAGAGGATGTGGAGAAAAAGGAACACTTTTACACTGTTGGTGGGAATGTAAATTAGTTCAACCATTGTGGAAGACAGTGTGGCGATTCCTCAAGGCCTTAGAAATAGAAATTCCATTTGACCCAGCAATCCCATTACTGGGTATATATCCAAAAGACTATAAATCGTTCTACTATAAGGACACATGCACACGAATGTTCATTGCAGCACTGTTTACAATAGCAAAGACCTGGAATCAACCCAAATGCCCATTGATAATAGACTGGATTGGAAAAATGTGGCAGATATACACCATGGAATATTATGCAGCAATCAGAAATGATGAGTTCGTGTCGTTTGTAGGGACATGGATGAATCTGGAAAACATCATCCTCAGCAAACTGACACAAGAACAGAAAATGAAACACCGCATATTCTCACTCATAGGTGGGTGATGAAAAATGAGAACACATGGACACAGAAAGGGGAGTACTAAACACTGGGGACTATTGAGGGGAAAAGGGGAGGGCCAGTGGGAGGGGGAGGTGGGGAGGGATAGCCTGGGGAGAAATGCCAAATGTGGGTGAAGGGGAGAAGAAAAGCAAAGCACACTGCCATGTGTGTACCTACGCAACTGTCTTGCATGCTCTGCTCATGTACCCCAAAACCTATAATCCAATAAAAAATTAAAAAAAAAATAAATAAATAAAAAAAAAATAAATAAATAAATAAATAAATAAATAAATATTTTTACAAAGAATACATGATTTATTTAAAACACAAATAATAGTCTTTTGTAATCCTAATAAGGTAAAATCAGAAATAATAACTAACCATGCTGGTGAATTATTGTCCTTAAAAAATCAACAACTTCACATAAAGTTTTTATTCTAAGTAAGTGTTACATATTTTTTAATTTTTAGATAATTGGAAATCTAATTTATGGCATGTTACCCTAATGGAACACCTTCGAACTTGATGGCTCACCCATTTATTTTGAAGGGTTCCTGGGAACATCTCGCACGTATTGAATATTATGTGCCCACTTTGTCTCCCTCAGGACACTGACATCACAGTGCCACGATCTGTCATCTGTCCTATCATTTCCCTGGAATCTGATGCTCCTGCTGCCCTGCTATTTAGGGCGACCATATGTGAGATCATCCAAACTGGAACACTTTTGATAGTGAAAGGGAGAGCTATAAATAATTACACTAGGGCAACTGGTATTAACTAGGATAGTTATAAGCAAACAGAGATGTATGGTCATTACTCCGTGGTTGACTTCCTTAGGCCATCTTGTTCCAAAGCTACAAGGTTTTCACACACAAAAAAATAGGCATTATGCTTTGCCATTGGAATCCCAAAACAGCACTGTTTGTGCCCTGGCTCACAACAGATGTTTAAACTTTGGCCTGTATCTGATCACTTCCAGGGCTCAGACCTAAGTTCAAGGGGGCCAGGTCATAATTTAGTAGACTCCAAATAAATTATTTTACTAATTACAGTATTGGATATGCATAATTTTAACTGACTTATTAAAATATCTAAAATTAGATTCATTCTGTCTTGTAAAGAAAGAAAGTATGAAGTTGGTTTGGAAATAATTTTATCAAAAATTAAGGAGAAAAAAGGTTTTACTCTTAACTAGAAATCCCCTCCATATTACATTCTGTCTCTACCTACCTTTACAATCAAGCTCTTCAGCAACGAAAACCAAACAAAACTCTAATCATCAATTTCCAAAACACCAAAATTTATTTATTTAGTTCTTTTCATTAGTTATTGCAATCAGAGAAGCGTATTCTGGCACTTTAGAACTTTGGGAGAGGAATGCGAAACAGCAACAATGTTTAACTCTGGTTTCTCTAATTGATTTCCATATTGTAATCATAAAATTACTCACACCTTTCTCATTTATTTGTTAAAAACTTTTCTTCTCACCAGGTGTTTTACTGCCTCCTTCACATCCTTGTTTCTAAGACTGTAGATTAAAGGATTCATCATAGGAGCCATCACCCCATAGAACATGGATATAATTTTGTCGGTAGCATCCAAGTCATCTGAATTAAGTGTTTCTTTAGATTTGGGCTTCATGTACATGAACAGGATGGTCCCATAGAATATTATGACCACAGTCAGATGAGCTGAGCAGGTAGAGAAAGCTTTGCTTCTCCCCTCAGAAGAGCTAATCTTGAAGATGCTCACAATGATTAATGTGTAAGAGACAATGATTAATAACAAAGGTGTCAATATGAACAATGTTGTGGCCACGAGCATGATGAACTCATTGCCTGAGATGTCAGCACAGGCCAATTTCATGACAGCTAGAATTTCACAGGAGAAATGATTGATGATGTTATTCCTGCAGAAAGGCAATTGTACCACAAACACTGTTTGTACTGCCGAGTTGACAGCTCCTATGATCCAGGACCCAGCTGCCATGGATACATAGGCATCCTTGCTCATGATGATGGGATATCTCAGAGGGTTGCAGATAGCCACATAGCGGTCAAAGGCCATCATGCCCAGGAGCACACACTCTGTTGTCCCCATGGCCAAGCCAAGGAACATCTGCACTGCACAGCCAGAAAAGGAAATGGTCTTTCTTTCTGAAAGGAAGCTCACCAGCGTGGAGGGAATAGAGGTGGTGGTATAGCAGATGTCCAAGAAGGAAAGGTTCCCCAGAAAGAAGTACATGGGGGTGTGAAGGTGAGGGTCCAAGATGTTGATTAAAATGAGAGTAGCATTGCCCAGAAGGATGACCACATACATTATGAAGATGAGCACGAAAAAGAGTAACTCAAGCCTCGGGTAACCAGAAAGTCCCTTCAGAAAAAATTCAACCAGAATGGTTTGGTTTTCCCATTCCATTTTACTCTTTTACCTGTAAGACAGAGCATGTTGAGAAAAATATGTATTTTACTCTGATTACTTTTAAGCATGTATCAATGAATATGTACCATAATTTCCAAGGAAAAATAAAAATAAAAAAGGAAAAGACCAAAGAAAGAAGAGAGCGCATGAAGAGAAGTAGACAGAAAAGAGGGAATTTATGAATGGAGAGAGGGAAGGGAATGATGAATGAATGAATGAATGAAGAGAGGGAAGAGAAAACTAACATTTTTCGTGCTATAGCCATTTAACTCATTTAATATCATCACAGTTTTCAGAGAGGGCTATTAGTATCCATATTTTACAGATGAATAAATCAAAGCGGATATGTTAAGTAAACTTGACCAAAGGTAAATAGTATATAGCAGAGCTAAGATTCAAACCTAAATCTTCCTGATGAAGCCTGAACGGTTTGTCATATTTGTCATCACCTACATAAACTGAAGGTGATAATAGAAATGGGCATTGTATTCTGTGTAACTGAACACTAAACTATTTTTATTTTATTGTGTGGCTATAAATCACCACACAATAGATCAATGCTCTTGTCACTCCTTGAAATTACACTTCTGTCTTTCCCAGTAGAATGTAAACTTCGTAAGGGCAGGTACTTACTCTTGCTTATTTCCACAGCCCCAGTAGCTAGAATAGAACAGGCGCAGAGGCAAATGTTCAAAAACATTTGTTGGATGAATGGACAAAATCACAGGCAAAATAATTGCTAACATTTCTTATTCTGTGCCAATCTTCTATTAATTGTTTTCTTTGTGTATTCCATAATAAAGTCTGAATAGCAAGCTTATGAGGTAATTACTGTTACTATTAGCATCACTATGCCTATTGTGTAGAGAGGAAAATAAGGCACAGAAAGGTAATTTGCTTAAGGTCAATTTCATACAGCCAAATAAATGAAAGAGTAAGAACCTAAACCCAAGTGGTAGGGCTTTAGACTTTCAGCTCTTAATACTCATTTTGCAAAGACAATCTGGCTCACAGGCTAGAATACCTTGTAATCTAATCGACAGTCCTAATATTTCAAAAGAAATATCAGCTAAAAAAATGTGATTGGTCAGAAAGAAGATATCAGTATGATGAATTGATAGCAGTTGATTTTGATATTTTACATTTTGCTAGTACTCATTTCTATAGCAAATGTTTTGTCACAGATTTGCATTTGATCTTTATAATTCTTGTGTCCTTCCCTACATAAAAAGTTCTCATTTTCATTATGATGCCTGTTTGACTTTTTTTTTTTTCCTTTATTCGACTCACAAAGGATTTTCCTATATTACAGGTCTTTAAAAAAAACAGCTTTAGAATAGATTTATCCTCTTGACTTTTTACGTTTCATTAAGTTTCTCTCTTCAAAAATGTCTTGTTTATTCGGATCTATTTTTCTAATTTTTTGATTTCTAATTCTATTTTTTTAATTTCTTGAAATAAGAAGAAAAAAATCTTATTTCCTCCTTCTTACTTCTCTATTTCTTGCTCTAATGAAGGCTCTTAGAGCACTTTTTGTTTTATTATAGACTTAATATTTTATGGGAATTTTTTTTTAGTGGTTTCTAGATATTTTTTGTTTTTCTGTTAAGTTCCTCTTAAATCCAAGCATCTTTCTTGGATTAGGCATTTTCATTCTATTTTTATTACTTATCTCCCATTTTATTTTAATTTTTTTATTTTTCTGAGACAGAGTTTCACTCTGTCATTTAGGCTGGAGTGCAGTAGCATGATCTCAGTTCACTGCAGTCTCCACCTCCTGGGTTCAAGCGATTCTCCTGTCTCAGCCTTCCGAGTAGCTGGCACTACAGGCATGTGCCACCATGTCGGCTAATTTTTGTTTTTGGTAGAGACAGGATTTTGCCATGTTGGCCAGAACAGTCTTGAACTCCTTGCCTCAAGTGATCCGCCTGCCTCGGCCTCCCAGACTTCTGGGATTACAGCCATGAGCCACCATGCCCAGTCCCATTTTATTTTAATAAGAAAACATGACCTATAAATCTCTAGTTATGGACTTTTGGACAGTCAGTTACATGATATATGTTGTAAATATTGACCAAAAAAATGTGATTTCTCTTTGGGAAGATATATAGTTTTAAATATATACACAAAACATATATATATATATAATAAAATGTATTAAATATATTAAAATATTCAGAATAACCTATTTTCTGCCACATAGATTTAATAAATTTTATGTAAATATTGTTATCAAATTCTCATATACTTAGGATCATTTTATTATAAAGGTTTACTTTCTATGTTGTTTAGTGTAGATAGATTTATGGTTAATATATCTTCTTCATAAATTATAACATCGTTAATTGATGTATCTTTATTCCATTTGGCAGTTTAAAGTTTAATTCCACTTTTATGATATTGATATTACACCCCTGCTTTCTTTTAGTTTGCTTTTGTCTGCTCTTTGTATGACTTTTTAACTTCTCTTTTTCACTTTGTTTAAAGTGTACTACTTATAAATACCATATATCTGAGTATGTTTTAGCTACTTTTTTAATGTTTGGGTCATTGATGAGAATACTCAGACTATTCTATTTACTTGAACATAATTATTAATGTACTAAGTTTTATTCTTTCCATATTTTACTTTTATTGTTTGAATTATTGCATTCTCTTTTTTCCACTTTTTAATTTTTGCTGATTGATGAAGTTGTCATACAATTTTTTTTTCATTAACTTAAACACGCTACTCATTTTTTTCATTCAGTAAGTGATTGCCTTATTTTTCTCTTCTCTCATAATTAAACTTCTAAGACCGAAAAGATTAACTGTTTTCTCCACTAGGGTGTGCTCTAAATACCTCAGTTATCCCTCAAATTGAAATGAAGCCAAAACAGAATACTTCTACTCCACCACTTTTATCCTAACCTCCTAATTCCTAGATTGTGCTGGTTTAATACTTACAAAGTTTATAAAATCTGCCTTTTTGAGAGTTCTTCAGCCTTTAGATTATGCAAGCTTGGATAGTCAATATGTCTACCTACCTTATACACCTTTTCATTGATCACCATTGATCTTTTTTTTTTTCCACTCTCTTGAGGATTGTATTTATTGTTTTGTGTTTGATTATAGTTTATTTGCAGAAATTTTCCCCAGATGAGAATGTGAGTAATATATTATCTGAATCCCTATAGATTATCAAATGTCTTCCTTTCATATTGCAGGCAGAGGTTTATGAATTTTGACCTACATTTTCCATGTCTGAGATATATCCTAAAGAAATAATAAAGATAGTTATATAAAAATGCAACACATAGTTATATATTTTATAAATAGAAAATACGTTATATATAACAAATATATGAATAATTATATAGAGAGTATATACATACAAATTGTGACTGTTATCATTAATTGACATATCTTTATCCTATTTGTTACTTTGTTATTAGCTGAAAAGGATATTTAAGAAACCAGTGACCAAAATTTCAGGGAAACTTCAAACAGAAATTCCCTAATATCGCTCCCTGTGTGGCAATATTTATCAAACTAACAAATATATACATATAACATTTGACCACAGATTTACTTCTCAGTAATTATCATACAGATATACTGGCACATGGCGAAGTGATTTTAATACAAATTGATTCATTAAAGTATTATTTGTAACAGCAGATGCAGCAAACAAGTTAAATTTCCACAAGAAGAAAACATAGAAATAATGCAATACTATACTGCCATCAAAAGGAGCAAGGATGTTTTCTGCACTAATGTGGAAAGATCTTCAAGAAATATTAAACGGAAAAGTAATAATCAGAACAGTGTATATGGCACACTATCATTTGTGCAAAAAAGATATATGTATATGTATATGTGTATATGTACATACATGTATTTTTGCTCACACATAGAGTATCTCTAGATAAATAATAGTTGGTTATCCCCAAAAAAGAAAATGTATAGCTTATTAATTTGGGTGGAGGTGTTGACACCATGCCCCTTAGTACATTTTAAGAATTTTGAATCTTGTAAATGCATTTCCTATGAATAAAATAACACTTAAGCTAAAAAGTTATCGCTGTGGGATTTCTAGCCTTTCTCCTTTCACCTTTCACCTTTCCAATAGCACACTACATTGAAGCCATCCATTGCTGTCGGACATGACCACATATGTTTGAAAATTCTTCTACCTTGTTCAATATCACACACTAAATGGTAATTGCTGAGGACAAACAAGAACTTTGTAGTCACATTCTCTCAATACAAAAGATAATTTATTTAGTATCAATAGGACTTGCATTACTGTATCTGTCTCATTTCCTGCCAATCAGCTCTAGGTTGTTCTTTGAGCTGGCTTAGGGTCTAACATCCAATTCCATGTCACTTTTTTTTCCACTATAAATTTTATTGTTTTTATGATCTAGCAAAGTTCCTGAAACAAAATTACAGCTCAGTAAATGTTGGCTATTATTCTTTTTCGTTCAGGTCCAAGGAGCCTTTTCTCTTCAGAATAATTCCTCCACCTAACATTGTGAGATAATACTCTGCTCTGAATCTCAGGTCCATCTTCTCAATTTCAAGGCATAATTAGTCTCCTCAGAATTACTTCAAACCCAACCTGATTTCTTTACTCTAAATTCTTCCTGTGATTCTGTAGCTTTTTATAAAATTTTCATTTTCTAGAATTTTTCAGATTTTCTGAATTAAGATATAAACTACTTGAGATCCCAAAGAGCATTTTGCAATGTGAAGTTCTTTGAATAATGGAGAATATATGCACACCTGTAAAAATCTGCTCTCTGCAAAAATCATTGTTTCATGAGCTACCTCCGTGCTACAAGATATATTATCAAGCACATTTCATAATATATTCAAGGGTACAGGCTTTGGAGGAGGCTTGGTTCAAATGCCATCTCTGCACCTTATTAAGTAGGTGACCTGGACATGTATCTGACACCATTGTCATCAGTAGAATGAAGATATAGAAAACATCTATACAATGTCCTTGTGCACAAGATTAAATGAAATGATGTGTGTAACTCACTCAGCACAGTCATGGTTCCTATTGTTAGAGGTTTCCTTCATGCTTGTCTTTTATGACTCTTC